AATATACATTGGCATAAGAGAAGTACACATTTAATCTAGGGTCAACTTGGTATACATGCATGTGATTTTTTTTATCTATATGAATAAAAATAGTGCTATTCAAGTAGCCGTTTTATTATGTTATGTAACCTGAAATCATTACACTTACACGTTTAAACCAGTTCATACATTTATATAGGTTACCATACACTCAACATTGCCATTATTTTTTATTTAAAAGCAGTGTGTTTCATAAACATATAACTTATTTTAAAGTTTAAATAGTCAGAATATAAAACAAACACACATTTGAAGAAGTGACTGAATCCCATCTGTTTATAACCTGAACAATTTTTCAAGCATCAGTAACTGGGTCCTTACATTGAGTTCTGGAAATATTTCAGAAGACAAAAGATAAAAATATTTTAAAAAATTAAACTTGTTAGTTTTATTATATAAACATTCTGCAACAAGTTTATCAAAAAAAGTATTCAGACTGAGTTAACAACATTTTTTACATTCCTAAAGCAGAACTTTTTCTTCCTTCATGATTGCACAGAATGACGAAGTTGTCAGGAGTCTGAGATTCTACAATATATAAAAGTCAGGTCAAAAAACTCAGCTACAATGAAAACTGATACACACTTCTAAATAATGTCTTCATACAAGAACTTGACATCTTTCTCTGAAGAGAGGGGGAGGAGGGAAAAGGAATTTCATGTTTCAATGTCTCTGTAGAATTTAGAATTTCGTATGTTCAGCAGTCTCTTCATAGCTTTATATACCCTCTCTTCATTTTCTTCACTCCTCTTCAGACCATCAGAAACAGTACAAGTAGAAGTATCATGCTTACAGTAATTTCAGCTATGAGGTTTTTAACTCTGTCCCCCTTATGAGCAGACCGCATACAAAAGTTTTTGTCCACTTAAGCTTTGAGAAAACCGACTGTAAAATAAAACACACTACTCCTTTCAGTACACTTACTGATACTAATACAAACTGTTTTACGCATTACCTTCCCACCAAAAGAACTTTGAAATCCATCAATGCCTGTGCCTCTTAAGAGTTCTAGATCAGAGGAGTTAGCCAAAGAGGCAAATACAGCTGAGCCACTGAACAACACTGTCCGTAATGTAACCACAACAAACCAGCTTCTGGAGAATTTAGTACAGCTAGACTTGCTAGAAATTTGAAAAGATGAGTAAGATAGCAAGGAGATCTAACTTAAAACAATGAGGAAATTAAAATTAAGAGCCTCAGCATGCAAAATTCTTAAGACTCAGAAAGCATCTATACGCTTTAAGAATATACAAAAGCAGAAAGATAAATTTATACTGTTATTTTATTTCTTATCACTGAGATCATATCAGTAGATCAGTATGTTTACATCATCTTTCAGTACACTGCAATTAGCTGGAAATAGCAATCAAGAACAAATTCTGGACTCTTTGACACCTTCCAGACTCTTTTGCCCTAATAAAAGAACATTACCTCACTACATTCATAGAAGATTTAGAAAAGATGACAAACAAGAGTTTACAAATTCCAGAACAAAACTAGGGGACATGCCTGATTAAGGAGTTGAAGATGATGTCTCAGAAGACAGAGCAACAGCAGTTTGGGAATGTTTCCACACTTTTTTTTTTTTTTTTAAAATAGAAGACTACAGCTCTTCACTAAATTCAGAACTATCTATATTGCTCATCCTCAAAAGCCCATGCCAAATCTGATGTGAAGTTAAATTAAAGCAAACCTCTAGGAGAAAAAAAAAAAATTCAGCTTCTTAATGCATATCCAATAGGATTTATTTTATTTCAGCCAAAATCCTAACATCCTTAAATGAAGTCTTAGAAAGAAAAAAATCTTTGGGCGTGAAAATTTTTCTAGGATATTAAAATTACCGAATTAGAACTCAGAATTTGATGACTTGGACATTAGCTCTCAACTTACTATGCATTCATCATTTGGAAAAGAAAAGAATTAAAAAACGTATTTTAAGTTTTGTAACATATTGCATTAAAAAAGGTAGTCCAGAATTCCAAGTTACCCAGGAGATTTTGATGTGTGGTACGTGAGCTTTTGAGGTTTTTTTAATTCACTTCACTGTTTAGAACCTCAGAAAACCCCACCAGACCATCTGTGACACTTGTTTTGTGCTTTTGTCCGCCCTCTGCTGTCTGAAATGCAGAAAGTAGTCATCTATGCTACAGAGCACTCTACAACTCTGTGTTACATACAATATTGATCATTCATGATTAGCTAGAAATCAAGTGAAGAAAAAAGGAAACAGAGTAAGAGAGACAGACTCAGTGGTTCTACATGAAAAGAAAATCACAGAACACCTGTAAAATGCAGTTTTTAAACTTAATCAATTTCCATAAATCTGTGTGATGCTATCCACAGCAGGAACAAAACTACGAAAACTATCTTGAAAGCAGATTTCTAAACAGTACTGGTTAAAATAGCCAAAAGAGTTACTCTGCAAAGTGGAACGGCCTTTCTGCTGGCCACAGGAGCTACATCCGTGTGGATAACTTGAACTCCAAGAAGCACCTTACTGTACTTTGCATCTACATGAAAAAGTCTCTGGATCGCTTTAAAACTCAAAATCCAGACCTTGACTTCTGGCCTTCTGAGTACTGTCTCAGCTTTAAACTTTGCCTCCAGACCTCTGCAGAAATTTTTTTTTTTAAAGCACTGGCTGAGTGAAAAGAATTTGCTTTTTCTCCTGTTCCTTTTCAATAACGAATCTAAACGTGATGATTTTCCAAATCATTTTACCATGGCCAGACCCATAATACCTCTGACTGATAAACATGTGAATATCATCTCTAATAATAAACAACATCACTTAATTCTTACACTATCGCTAGGCATAGCAAGGCTCAAGTATTCAAATATTTGAAGTTTGCTGCCATCCAACCTGTAATTTAAAAACAAATAAACAAACAAACATCCTTTTCATCCACATTTGCTTTTTTGTACCATTCTCACATCCTTCAGCATGTTTTAACCCATCCATTTACCATTTAATTCATAAAGGACACTAAGAAGATTCACATCAACAATGGGTGCTGCAGTCCTGGGAATAGTGCAAGTGAATCTGTGTAGTGCTGATTTACATTCTTTATTATCCTCCAAAACTTACATTCACCTGCATTAATGATGAAATTTCATTTTCTCATTAGTTCACAGGAGAAAGAAGCAATAGGAAAGAAGCTGAGAGTCCCAATTCATCCACTGAAGGTGTGGTGTTTTTTTTTTTTTGGTCATGAATTGAAGCAGAAGGCATTTAACTACAACGTAACTCCTCCATTTCTTCTTGGCATTCACTCAACATAAGGGAGCTGACAGCAAAGAACTCTTACCCAGGAGGGATCAAGAAGGGACTCATACTACTCCTCATTCAGATTTTCTTTTTAAACTGTGTTTCCCCTTTAATTTGTCATTAATCAGGAAAAGTTACCTTACATAACCAGACACTTCCCACATCAGAGTGAATCAGCACCCCAACTATATAGGATAGCAGCTACAGGGAAACAGCCAGGGAAATACCTTCCTGTCTTCAGTATATGGTCCATATTGCTGGATTGCTATAGCTAATAATAGTTGAAATGTCTACTAGAGAAAAGAAAGAATGAAGGAAGATACTGAGAAAACACCTGTCACCCTGCCTCCCACACAATTAATTAGTAATTTTGGTAGATTTCACAGTAATTTCTCCAAATATTAAGCTTCTTCAATGAAGGCCTAGTTAGCAGATCACTGCCGTCAGTATAATGCTGAAGTACAAGGCAACAAACATTTGGTATCTTCACCAGTCTTGTGCCAGCACAAATGGCACAGACATATTCATTTTAAATACTTATATCAATCCAGAATCTATTCCATGGCATTGTTATATGCAACCCAATGAAATGAGAAGTGTCTTTGTTTTTGATCGGTGGTCTTATATTTTACAACATTATCCCTGAAATTCTCCAGAGGAGTCATATTCAATAACATATATACAGAAGGTCCCATTCTGTCATGTGCAATACACAGTACTCGTAGGACAAAAGACAAGTTCTTGTTCTTACACTGGATTCTCTCACATGAAAAGCAAACCAGAGACAACCGAGACAGATGTCTACAATTGCTCATAGAGGAAATTGTCCTCATTTGTGATTGCTTGAGCAATTCTTCAGTCACCTAGCTGGCTGTTCATAGCTGGCTCAGTTAACTCTGAGCTGTCTTTAGCTGGGCCATTGCTCCGAAACTTCCAATTTCTCATGAACATGGAAAAAGCAGAAAGCAGAAGACAGACCATTGTTAAATTTGTTTAAAACAGGACAGGCCGAATGCCATGTGGAAATCTTCGATCCATAGAAGTTCTTAATGGAACTAATATATTGGTAGATATTAAAACGGATTTTACTTGCATCATTTCTTGCAGCAAATATAAATAGAAAATTATGGACTGTATTCCAACATGTCTGTGGGAGGTCATCAAAAACCACTCTGATAGAGCCTCTTTGCTTATTTTACGTGAAATGCATTGTTTCCAACTTCCACTAACAGTCCTTATTATGACAAGCTTCACAAAACCCTCAGTAGGACAGAGTAAAGCTCATACATACAAACTTTTAGGATGTGGACAGCATCAGAGACATTCCCTCAGTTACCAACAGATGCTTTGTTAATAAAACTTGCATATACAAATGTCCACAAAATGTCTTAACAAGATCAGTTGTGACAGCTAAAGATAACAGCTGCCATCATGCTATGTCATATCAAATTACTGCAAAGAGACTTTTTTTTTTTCCACATTGTTAACTCAAGAACATTGACTAGAAACAAATACAGTTATCTACAGAGGAACTCTAAGTGCAAGATATTTTGCATCACTTCTGCAGAAGAGCAGTGACTTTGAGGACCAGATAGGAAAATAATTTTGAACAGCTGGAAATTATAATTGCAGTAACACAGCAAAGTCAAACACTGTTTCCGAGAGTCAGCCAAAAGCCAAACCACAGACCTACCTTAAGATACAGAAGCAGCTCTTGGCCCCAGAAGATAAGCGACAGAATCCAAACCTCTGTTTGCTGTCAATGTCTGTAAGCACAAATGTAAAGTTCTGCCCAACTTGGTTAACTGCATGGCTGAAAATAAAGAGAGTAAAGAGGAAAAAATTAATGCTGAGCTAACTCTGTGTCAAAAGTATCTAGTCTAAGTCATTGAACCTGTAACGTTTCCTCTTTCAGCAGAGCTTTTTTGGAAAATTAACTTTGAGAGCATACACCCTCTAGAAACTTAAATATGCTAGTTGCTTGGTGAGGGAGGAGGGGTTTATCGTGGGGTTTTTTTTCCATTTTTGAAGTGTGGGAGGATACTAAAAATGCATTTATCTTTAAGTGAAGATGGTTATGACTATCAACCATCTTCAGTGCAGTACACACTGTACAAACCAAACCCATGTTTTCTCGTATAACCCAAAATATTTCTTTATTACTCTTCATTTGAGAATTAGTTAACTCCAAGAGCAAGACAATGTTTAGTAACATGCTAAGCTTCTTCAACACTTGGATATTGACTTGTAGAAGCTTTATTATCCATCTACCAGTTTTGCATGTATGCCAGATACATCATTCCAAGATGTTCAGCAACTGGAACCATGCCAGGTGACTCTCCTTTACTCTAGCAGCTAGGCAATTAGTTTAAAGACAGACTAGAATAGTGTGCAAAGGAAGAAAAGATAAACTAGAATCAAAAGTACACTGTGCTAAAGCCAGACATGACTATAAAAATAATTTTGTACGACTTTTATATGATTTTTCAAAATTAAGAGTAATTTGCCTCATCTGTAAGATCTTAATGGCTTTCAAGAATAGCACAAGTGAACTAATAACATTCTTAGGTGTTGGCTCCCACCCACATCACACTGGAAAATATCACTATAGGAAAATTTGCCCAAATTAGAAAAACACAGTTTTGGGAAAACAAAACAAAACAAAAAACCACAGCCAACAACAACCACCACCAAAACAAAAACCAAAAACACAAACACCACAAAAAATAAGAACCAAAGCACCCAAACAAACAAACAAATGCCAAACCCCCAGCATTTAAAACTTCATGTCTTTAAAAATACTATAATTCACATCCATATTTTACTACTAATAGGTGATGCTCAAAATGGTCAGATAAGATCAATATAAGATGCTTTACATTTAAAGCACAGCACTTTCTGAATGTTATTTATTAACAAAATGAAAGACATTCTTGAGATATTACCACATTTGGCTAAAGTTAATCAAATGCTTATGTACAGTGATGGTAGACTCCATATAAACCAAGCCCAATTCACCTCCCAATTTGTAGAGATGTAGTTTTACTGTTTAACAGAAATTTTGACATTTAGTGGGGAAGCTGGGACTAATATAATTATTAGAGGACTTTTCATTCCGATTTTAGATCTATTTGAGACCTCATAATGATATGAAATTAACACTTATTTCAGGTTATATTCTAGTTTATTTTAGGTTCACTGAGAACTGAGAAAACTGACTAGCATTTACATGTGTATCTTTACTAGTCAGTCCTTCCAACAGCAACAACAAAACCCATTAAATTCAAGGCCATTTAACTAACATCCACAAGCCTTAAAAGCAAGGAAATATTCTCTTCTATGATGCCATATACAATGCAATAAACAATTTATGTGGGAGATTATACACTCAGTGCCTAGAGGGAAAAAAAGAAAAATAGACTTTCAGAAATAAAAGTTGGATCCAGATTGGAAAGATGTCACTGTCCAGCTAGGAAAGAAGAATCCTTAAGCAGATTCCAAACAGCGAACGAAAAACATGCAGTGATGAAGATGAAAAAGTGCTCCAAATTCACAGATGAACAAAAAGACAGATATTTAAAAGCATTTCAGTAGTCTGAGAATTAGACAGCGTTAAGTACTGTCATCCTACCGAATTCTAAATGTCAACAGAGCAACCATTTCCATAAACCGTACTGAGATGCTGGGGGATACCAAAAAATCCCTTACTGGTGTTGTGTTTTATCTGTAAAGCTTGGATGTAATGTTACTATGGTGATTTTAGTATGGTGTTTTAAAAGGGGATTATATGCTTAATTTTAACAAGGTCGAGAGCCAGAGCATGTGTGAGAAATAGCATTCTAGCTGACAATTAAAATTATGGAACAGGGGAAAAAAAACCATGCTTCATTTGCAGCAGGCAGAAGCTTGTTTATTGAACAGTTGTGACAAGTTGGTAAGTTCCTCCAAAGCAAACCTAAAGATTCTTGCATTTATGTGATCTGCAGAAACTAAATACGTCTGATAGGTCTTGCTCAAGTTTCAGTTGTCTGTTCTTCACATGGAAAGATAAACTTCCCAACATAAAAAGTGCTTTTCCTAAGATCTTAATATCAATACTTAAGATTCACAGCTCTATTTCCAAATGGGAAGAAGGTATATGTAGAGCCTAACAGGATGGAAGCACCATAAATCTCACCTCTAAATGGGCAGATAGAAATTAGGATTGGAGGGAAGGGGAGAGAGGAAGAGTGATTTCTTAAAAATCCCCTGTCACTAGCTATATCTGACTAACACAAATTAATCCTGATATGATATTTAACCGAGGTAGAGTTCTTCACTCCTGCAGTTGGAGAATAGCCTCTGCCTTGATCCTGCAACCATAAGAGTAGAAAACTCATGGTCCACTGCCTAAAGAAAGGGGCAACTAGTCCCTCGTGATTTTTGACCACTGGCAACAATATATATAAAAAGAATCAGTGTAAAAAGAATTAAGAGTCTGCGTCAATGAGTGCCAAAACCTTCAGTACAGAGAACAATCAGATATGCAGAAGATCTTGATTTGCCTCAAAATCTTGGTGTCCTATCATCATTTGAAGTTGTGATCCGGCAGAGGCAATAGTACATCTTCAGCTTTTACCACCTGTTTCATAAAACACGCAGCCTTAGAAGAGACACACATGTAGGTGAAGACTTACGTCCTTTCTCAGCACTTGCTAAAGAAATGCCACTGTTTAACATCGAAGTCAGAAGAGCAAGAGCAACTCAAGTACCACTGAGCGCACTTCTACCATCAAGAAGTTTCCACTGAAAGCCTAGCATAATACTGCACATAACACAGAACCTAGTTATGTAAACTAAATTTCCCCAAGTAAAAGTCCTCACAAACAGGGTATAAATTGGGGACATGACTCTAGCAGGACTTGAAAACCTAAGTTCTATGACTGATAGTGCTACTTTGGGCTCTGAGTTGGTGAAAGGAAAAGTAGCGTCTATTCTTTAGCGATTACACATTTCTGATCATTTGTATCAGTATCTCTTCATCGTAATTCATACTGATCGTTTTTCCACAGATCCTGAAGAGACATCCTATACAGAGTGTTATTCCAACAGAAGGTATTATCCCATACTCCTAAGTTATTTGAGTAATGAGCCAGTATGTCCACTGTTAAGAATAATAATTTCAAAACCTCTCAATATTGCAGAGAGATTCTAATACTAAAATTGTCACGGCTAAGAACAAGGCAACCTAGTTAACTGGGAATAGTACCTAAGTATTCGGAAGGCCTTTACTGAAACCACTTCAGTGTTCCTCTCTCTTTTTGTTCAGAATGAGCAAAACAATATATATTAAAAAAACCACCCTGAGGACTAAGAATTACAGCAACTGAAGGTATGATCCAATATACCACTTTTCAGGCAGATACAGAGGGATAAAATCCCACTAGAGAGTGCTAGTCAACTCTGTAAGACACAACTGTAAGACGCTTTCTGACACATAACCAAAGACAATATTTCTTCCAGAAGCAATTTCCTTTCATCTCAAAGTAGAAAAAGTGTTTGCTGAGAAGACTGAGGGGAATATTAAAGCATTTTCTGAAGTAATTTCATTATGGGGCTACCTGCTCACTACTTTAAATAACTTTATTTTAAATACATATAAGAAATGTATAAATAAACACTCAGTAGTTGGTTAACAGTAAACAGGGAAAGAAAAGACCAACTAGTGCAAATTCGTCACTTGTTGAGTTCCAGAAATAGCCTCTAAGAACAGGTATTTGATTGCTTCTAAACTTAGAAGTAGCTAAAAGAAGAAGAACATTTTGCACGTAAGATGCAGTGTATTTTTCTCTTTATCATGGTCACGTTAAATTCATTTGCATTTAGTGATACAAGACTGTTTACCTTCTTGCTATAACTGGCCGGTTAATTCCCACACACAGTTCAAAGCTAAGTCAAATTTACATCATAGAGGACTACAACAAGTATTTATTTATTTATATACCTACACACACACCTATGCGCATGCGTGTGTGTGTGTATTTTTACATCAAGAAGAGAAGTAGCACGCACATCTCTTTCAGCTGCCATATCCTTAACCTGGGACATCCTCTACCTTCCGGAGTATTGAAAGTCCATTCTTAATTTTAAATTATTAAGTATGCTATGGGTTACAATCTGTCCTTTATGTTCAAAATGGTTGGCTTACAGCCTTTTCAGTGACAGTCTGTGATATTCAGTCAAACAAGCAAATCCAGAAATGGGAATCACTTTTCATTATGTTCTCATTTGCACCCCATATGGGTTTTCAGTGTTCTTATCTTTCAAAATGTTATATTGCTGGGGAAAAACAAAAAACAACAAAACAAACAAAACCCCTAGGTACAATAAACCTACACATAGTAAGCATAAATATTTCTAGTAGAAACACATACATGAGAAAAATATATATAAGTACTTCCCTGCTCCCTCCCCTTAGGAAAGGAAAAAGATGATCAGCAAAAAGTGATTCCAAATTACAAGAAGTATTTGTGGCTTTTAAAGGTCATCTGAGTCAACAAGCACTGGTTAAGTAGCTCATGTTGACAGCCCAGGATATTCAAATTCTCTTTTTATGTACAAATCAGGTACAGCAGAGGCAGTGGTAATAATAGCTGTCTCCAGCAGTGCCTCACCAATGTCTCCCAACCCTGATCTGCAAGAACCACCTGGAGGGTTGAGAAAACATAATTGTCTTCATGATCCATTCAAGCTTTCAGTTTCCTCCAACCCCAGATTACTACATCGGAGGACAAAGTGTAGCAGTGGTTTTATTATGTAGACTCCTATCTCCAGAGAAGCATAGTGAGATTTCATCTCCATTCATAGAAACTAGTGAACAGTATTTCAAGATAACTAAGAAATACGAGCTGGCCTATGGGTGGGTGGGGGGGAAATGAAAAAAAAAATTTAAAAAATTGAACAACAGCTCAAACAAGAAGTGATATTAGAAATGGATGTTGATTTATAAAGAAAATCAATTTCTACTGTAAATATCACAGATTTCACTGAAATGAAAAAAAGATTTCTAGCAGTTTAATCACAGTTAAGGTCAATTTATTCAATCAAAACCATTTAGTGTGTTAGCTGACCTAAGACAAGTGATGCTAACCAATTAAATGATACTCGTAGATGATATGAGCAGTGGTGCATCCTTTCAATACTTCAGTGCTTGTTCTCTTCATGAAACCATCAAAAATAAGTAACAGTAAAAGCAAACCTACAAAACTAAAAAAAGTTCTGAAGTTTTCTAAATTACAAGAATTAAATATTCTCAGTTCCTGTCAAATCCACTGTAACTTACAATTTTTCCCCCCAAAATTAGAAGCCACGTTAAGCAGCCACCAAGAAAAGCACCAGCATTCCAACAAGATCAAGAGGCCTTTAAATGTAAAGCACTTAATTAATTATTCTGCCCCAATTTTTACAATTAAGAAATAAAATGCATATGCACACAAAGCTTTGATATTAATATGCATATTTGACAATTACTACAATTTCATATCCAAGCATTAAGTAGAAGTAAACCAAAATGCACTCTTACTGCTGCCACTGAGCAGCTCAAACTTTTAAAACTTTTTTTTTTTGATGGTGCCCATAAAAACCCCAGGAAAAAGTGATTCTAAGACTATAATTTGCACTTGGGTGCTTTAAATCACAGTCAAGCAGACAGAACATTAAGAATGGTATGGTTTTTATTTTCTACAGTGGTTTTATTGACAAGCTTATTTTCTTGTAAAGTTTGAAAAGCTAACACTACCTGTCCACATAGAAGGGGAAACAAAACTTGGTCAAAGTCTGTAGAACTTCCTGTGGAGAGAAAAAGAGATAATTTATACATCTACTGGGACCAATAAATCTAATATTAACCACATCACGCAATTTCACAACTTTGCCCTGAAGAAATAAGAGACATATGAAGAAATATGGGCTTTATCAATTACAAGGAAGGAGTACCAGGCAGTCAATCATGTGAAATAATAAACATGATCAAACTTCATTAAAAATGAAAAATTAATCAAGATTCACACATGGGCAGGCAGCAGGAGCCATCCAGCAATTCTCCAAAGAGCAGGAGGAGGTTGGGTTGTTGAGTGTTAACACCTCTCTAGGGACAAGCTCTACCCTGACCATATGGATCATAGTGAATAACACCAAACCACATGGGTTTGGCCTGGCAGGACCACTTCTGCTGGCACAGCTTTTGACTGTTACCTAGGAACAGAGGTCTGGGGGATTAGAGAATACTTCCTAACATCAGCAAGACAAATAACAAAAGATAAAGCCAATAGGTCTCATAGCAGGATAGAAAAAAAATCTGAGTGTTAAAAGACTGATTAAAATAACATGTATTAAAATTAATACAAATTGCTTAACTTACAAACCATTTTCTAAATGTTGCAGAACAGCACTATAGACAAACTTTTAAGTATAGCCTTTGCATGATCTCAAACAAAAAGCATGAATATGAAAACTGAAAACATGATCAGCAGAGATATTAATCAATTTTACAACTTTAAACAAATACAGTCATTAAAGAGGCAAAACCAGAAACATTTTAGTCCCAAAATAGTTGTGTTCATAGACAAAAGTTATCCATTTACATTATATTGTTCTATAATATTCAAAATTTGAATTCTATAATCCACAACCCACCATAAAGGTCTACCCAGTTTGCAGACGTTTACTACCAGCCAATTCATTGTCCATTCTCCTTCACACTTAAATACTTCAGAACCTGAAATGTAAACTGTATTTCTGCTTTCAGCTGAAACAAGATAACCCTGACTAAATGACAAACCCTCTGATAAATTCAACACTTTTCTGACCAGTAGTAATAAGTTATCATCAATAACTAAATTGATGCTTCCCGCTTCATTTATTTCTAAAACCAATGCCATCATTCAACAAATAAACTACATCAATCTAATAACCTATTCAATGAAGCAGAAAACATATTGACTCCCTTGCAAGAACATGTTCCTCCTACATAATTCAAATAAGCACATCCCATTCTTAGCAATGGTTTCAAGCTCAACAGCTCATAGACTCTTCTTTGGAGGTTTCTTGACAACGAAAATGTGGCAAGTTCTTAAGATTTCAGGCAGAAACAGATATGGAAACTTTGACTTCTTGACAGTTTATTGATAGATTATTTAACAACCTCCTGTTTTTAAAGAACAAGAAAGGATCTATTGAAGAATGCCATGTAAAGCAAAGAGGTATCCTCCTTTACAGCAGGAAACTTGGAAAGGAGCTATATGGGTTTCAGAGTAAACTCTGCAGAAATATGTATTTTGATACAAAATAATGCCTTGATAGTAAAGGCCTCATTAATGTGATTGGGTTCACCCTTGTGCAGAATCTCACTGACTTCCACGAGGATTGACCATCTGCTGAACAACTCCAATGGCTTGCGCACAAAAAACACATCTTGACAAATTTTAACTATTACACAGTTGTCCTTTACGCACAACTGAAATCTCAATGCATAAAATGTTAAAAAAAAAAACAACTCTCACAACAGAATTTTAAAAGAATCAAAATTATAATTGCAGGAGAGTAAAGTGCCTATATTTTTATTGGCCTTATCAATACAAATTGTCCTCAAAATAATAACTGCACATCTATTTTTTAGAAACAAAGCCATGTAGCTGCTACATAGAATTCTGAAAAAAACCACTGTTAAAAGATAAAAGTCATCAGTCACCTCAAAATGGCAGAATATATTCTCTCCATTATTTTGATGATTTAAATAATTACTGTAACTGCAAGTAAAAACATTCACGTAATAAAACACTTCAGCATCTCATCAGCATTGTGTTATTGTAGGATAATAGCATATTACTCAGAACTTACTTTGCACATTTCTTGATATTTATAGCTTCCTAAACACAGAAAATGAAATTTTCACTTAAAGAGGCAATATATTGAGTCTGTACCACTATACATTGCCTTGTCTCTTTAAAGAAAGATTGTACAGTGATATTACTAAGTGGTTTTTATAATGTTATTGGACATAATTTGCCACTCCTTATACACCAATACTTATCTGCTTTGATTTACAACTAAAAAATTGAGACTAGTACAGGTTAACCACAGACATATGTTTAAATTTTAACTTAAAAAAAAGTTTAAAAAAAAAAAAAATCACATACGGAATTAGCTTTTAGTTAGCAAAAATGCTGATCTCTTCCATGTAAGAAATACAAATACTGGAGAACTATTCCGTTTTTGCTCAAGTTGCAAGCTTGTTACTATAAATGTAATGCTTTATTTTTTTTTTTTTTTAATTCTTTTTCTTCAAATACAGCTTAGTTTGAAAGATTAGCAATGCCTGCATAGTACACAACTTCCTACAAGAACTCTTTAGGTGGGTGGTTACTTATGACCTAGAAAAATCATTATGTCTTTACAATTTCAAACCAAAACCATAACAAAACCAAACGTAGAATCCCTCCATGTCAGCATCTTATGATCCTTTTCATGTTTTTACCTGACATGAAGCATACAGGTAGTATCAACAGCCTTTTTTTTTCTTATTTAATTCCCTCATGGCTATTTTCTTGAAGAAAAACCTACATAAATGTCTCTAAAGCAAAACACCCTAAAAAGAAGAAGGAAAGAAAAACAAAAAAACAAAACACCACCCAAAACAATCCAGGACACACAGCTGATAAGCGTAAATTACCCAGTAGCTGAAACCAGTGTCTCTAGGGTATCACATGCCAGTTTTCTGGATCAATCCGCAAGTTTATATTTTCACAAATCTTTTTACATGCAGTTTGATTTTTAACATTTTAATGAGCAAAAAAGTGCATCTATAGCAGCCAGTCACCACAGTTAAAGTGCAGGGCATGAACTGTGTCCCTGGAGGGATTCAGCCCAGCCGTGTCACCAGTGGCTTTAGGACATACACCACCTGGTTCCTTGTCCCAAGGTTCCAACTCTTTTCATAATCAAAACACTGCTGACATTATAAACCCCACATGGGTTTTCTAAAATCCTTCCCAATCAATAAAGCCAGTACATAACTTATCGGAGACAACACAGAGCTCATTGATTAAGTTTGGTTTCAGTAGCAAAGTTTTCAAAATAAATGAGGCAGGAATACAGTGTTCAGCCCTTTCGTGTCACATCGCAATTTATGAAGGTGAGGCAGTCTCTAAAAGGATTTCCTCCACACACATACACACGAGAGATACTTAAAAAGCATACGGAAAGCAAGGTTGTTAAATACACACAATACATGTCCCGAATTATCTATATATTGAGATGAAATAGTAAAGAAAGCTCACCATTGCTGAAAAAATTTCATATTCATATTCACTTGTGAATTTAATATGCAAGCTGTATCTTAACTCAAGTCTTTTTTATTTTTATTTTTAAACCTTTCACTGTATGCTCCCACTTCCAGCCAATGGAACAACTTCAGAGCCCCTTAAATATACAGGATCACTTTATTTCTCTTGTTCAAGTGAACATTGGTAACAAATATCCCATGCTGCAGCTACAATTAAGTAAAACTGCACTGATAAAATGATATGAAAATTGATGGTCTAAAGCAAGAACAGCAAGCAATCTACTCTTAGAAGGACACACAATGCAAGAGACATTCAAAGTGGAACAAGATGTCTACGTAGAAGTCGGAGAGAAAAGAAATTAAAATACAGGCAGAGATGTGTGAAAAATGATGAATGATTAAGGCACGACATTCAAGTATCATTAACGTGAGTCAGAGAAGGGAAACAATACACCACAAAACCCAACAGGTTGGGGACCTGTATTTGGAAGCCTATTGGGAAACCTGAGGAAAAACAAGATGAAGTTGAAAAGATTACCTAGAGTACAGGAAAGACCTTTAGCTGTGGATCATGGGGGAGGGAAAAAAAAAACCCACAAAAAAACGCACCAAAAACCGCACAAAAAAAAAAAACCCAACCCAAAAACCCCACAACCATTTTTCACAAAGTACATATATTTTTACAGGAGGACAATTCAAATATTACAAGAGAATGGAGCACTGCAAATAACTTCCATGGAGAGAAGAGATGACTCAATACTGAAAAAGATGAATGCTGTTTTATTTCCTCGACCTTAAACCAGAGGTGAAGTATAAGTGAGGTTGCTGTAAGTGAAATGCTATACAGAGAGGGTGGAAATACAAATAGTTTTCATCTTATACAGCTTGAAATACCATCGGAATCCATGAAACAAACATGAAATCCATCCTCTTTGCATGGAGGGACACCAAGAGAGTTTCAAGAACACATCAACAGACTGATGAAGGAATGAGGAGATATTGGAGAGCAACGAGGGTTAAGAAGAAAACAATGACAGCCAGCCTTACGGGATCAAGAGAAGTAAGAATAGCTAACAGGATCCCGACTTGACCAGCAAGCAACTATAGTCGGTTTTATTTCTGCTCAGAAACAACACCAAATTTAAACATAGCAAAAATGTTAACATAGCACAAAAGAGTGCTAAGACATTAACTGAAGCAAAATATTATCCAATTATTTTGAAATTTGGGTTGTACATTAATCTACCTTAGAGCCACAAAAATTGTAAACTGCTCTTATATTTAATTCATCTATTTGAATAATTTTAAGCTAACAATTAATTAAATCATCCACTGCAATGGAACAACAGGTTTAAGAATTCAAAACAGTTGCCAGTGCACCCAAGTAATCAACTTAAACCTGACAACAACTCTGTTTAAAACCCAAAGGGTGGTGAAAGAAAAAGTACAGAACAATATAGAACACCATGAATTCTGTTATCTATGCAGTTGGTGAGAAATTCATATA